GAACACTTAAACAACACAATGTAACTCCAAGTCAATCACACTTCTGTGAAATCAAACTGTCCACTTAGGTAGCAACACTGATTGACAATCAATTTCACATGCTGTTGTGCAAATGGAATAGACAACAGGGGGAAAGCATAGGCAGTTAGCAAGACATCCCCAATAAAGGAGTGGTTCTGCAGGTGGTAACCACAGACGACTTCTCAGTTCCTATGCTTTCTGGCTGATGGTTTGGTCACTTTTGAATGCTGGCGGTGCTCTCACTTTAGTGGTAGCATGAGACAGAGTCTACAACCCACACAAGTGGCTCAGGTAGTGCAGCTCATCCAGGATGGCACATCAATGCGAGCTGTGGCAAGAAAGTTTGCTGTGCCTGTCAGCGTAGTGTCCAGAGCATGGAGGCACTACCAGGAGACAGGCCAGTACATCAGGAGACATGGAGGAGGCCGTAGGAGGGCAACAACCCAGCATCAGGACCGCTACCTCCGCCTTTGTGCAAGGAGGGACAGGAGGAGCACTGCCAGAGCCCTGCAAAATGACCTCCAGCAGGCCACAAATGTGCATGTGGCTGTTCAAACGGTCAGAAACAGACTCCATGAGGGTGGTATGAGGGCCCAACATGCACAGGTGGGGGTTGTGCTTACAGCCCAACACCGTGCAGGATGTTTGGCATTTGCCAGAGAACACCAAGATTGGCAAATTCGCCACTGGTGCCCTGTGCTCTTCACAGATGAAAGCAGGTTCACACTGAGCACATGTGACACAGACGTAACAGGGTCTGGAGATGCCGTGGAGAACATTCTGCTGCCTGCAACGTCCTCCAGCATGACCAGTTTGGCAGGGGGTCAGTAATGGTGTGGGTGGCATTTCTTTAGGGGGCCGCACAGCCATCCATATATTCGCCAGAGGTAGCCTGACTGCCATTAGGTACCGAGATGAGATCCTCAGACCCCTTGTGAGACCATATGATGGTGTGGTTGACCCTGGGTTCCTCCTAGTGCAAGATAATGCTAGACCTCATGTGGCTGGAGTGTGTCAGCAGTTCCTGCAAGACGAAGGCATTGATGCTATGGACTGGCCCGCCCGTTCCCCAGACCTGAATCCAATTGAGCACACCTGGGACATCATGTCTCGCTCCATCCACCAACGCCATGTTGCACCACAGACTGTCCAGGAGTTGGGAGGTACTTTAGTCCAGGTGTGGGAGGAGATCCTTCAGGAGACCATCCGCCACCTCATCAGGAGCATGCCCAGGCATTGTAGGGAGGTCATACAGGCACGTCGAGGCCACACACACTAGTGAGCCTCATTTAGACTTGTTTTAAGGACATTACATTAAAGTTGGATCAGCCTGTAGTGTTATTTTCCACTTTAATTTTGAGTGTAACTCCAAATCCAGACCTCCATGGGTTGCTAAATTTGATTTCCATTGATAATTTTTGTGTGATTTTGTTGTCAGCACATTCAACTATGTAATGAACAAAGTATTTAATAAGAATATTTCATTCATTCAGATCTAGGATGTCTTATTTTGTGTTCCCTTTATTTTTTTGAGCAGTGTACTTTGTTGCTGAGTAATTCAGAGTAAGCAATTGCACATAGCAATTTTCCAACATCCATGATGCTGTGTCCTGTTTTGAGCAATGCTTCCTTGTTCATATTAAGTTTCAGTATTATTAATAAACATAATAGGTGGCAAACCTACTAGGATTTAATAAAATGCCCAGGAAAGTCTTAGAATGCCACTTCTTGTTAGGAATATTGACTAGGGACTCTTTAGAAAAATGATTGAAAACATTGACTGGAGTTGTAAATTTCAATACACAATCTTTTTTTTTTTTAAACTGTCCACATAAAGCCATTGCAGCCTGAAATAACTCCAGCTAAAGTAATTACTGCAATGTTGAGAGCTGTAAAACATATTTGATGTGAATGGGATTACCATAGAGATACTATGCAAACACTTCCAGTTGCCTTTTCAAGTATATCAGCCAACTCAAATGATTGCAAAGACCAAAAGCAGACTGACATATAAACTGTGTGTGTAAACTGATGGTTTTGAGGTAGCAGTTTTCATCTGCAGAGTATATTTTGACAGGTTGAAGATTGAGAGTGACATTTTGGATGGCTGATGCTATTCTTTTTTGAATCCACCATATCACTTATATAAACTGGTTCTAATAGGCGATAAAGGGAATATGTGAGCTGAATGTACTCCCGATTCCCTGTTTTCTCCCTATATAATCACTCTGGAAGAAGAATTCCCTTGCTTGCTTGCTTTCACAAGACTAGCCCTTTCTGGCACTTTTATTTTCTGGGGAAAAAAATGAGAGTGGTTTGCAGTTATGTTACTGTTTCTACAGTAACCTTTGAAGCTGAGTCTCAAAGATCAGATTTAAAGAGAAGGAAGGAAAAACACTTCATTCTATTGCCAGCTTCTTTTAAAACACTGGAGGAGTTTCCAGGAATATAATGCCAACATACATGTATAGCTGCGGTCTGCCATTAAAATTGGAAGTTCTAGATCAGGGCTGTCAAACTCCCGGCCCATGGGCCGGATGCATCACATGCTGGCCATTCCCATGCCTGGTTTAGAGAATGGGAAAAAAGTCCCGATATGTAATGTGATGCCACTGTGACAACGCGAGTTTGACACCCCTGCTCTAAGTCAGTGGTCACCAACCAGTGGGCCAGGGACCACTGGTGGTCCAAAAGAAAATTTGGATGGTCCACAGATAAATGTCACCCCCAAAGCAATTATTCCAGGTTGTGTGGGAACACAAGGCTGGTGTCGCTTGCATTGCAAACAACACGTAGTGAGGGGAGAAGGGAAAGGGTGGAGGGGGGGAACTTGTCCCACTCGCCCCATGCTACTGGCTTGGTCACCGGGTTGCTTCTTTCTGCTTCTTTCTTCTTCTTTTGGCTACACTCAAGAAAAGCAGTAAAGGATTCTTTGTCTGCCCCAAACTCTGCCAGAAATGAGTCTTTGGGATGCTGCAAGGCATCCTACTACAAGAGGCTGCACTGGCAAAGACTCATTTCTGGAGGAATTTGGGGCAGAGAAAGAAAGACTTCTGCTGCTTCTGCTGCTTTCCTTGCATGATGTCAAAAGTCTCTGTCTCTCTCTCTCTCTCTCTCCCTCTCCCTGAGAACGGAGCTGGAGATGATATCCTATGAACCCAAATAAAGAATGATCAATCGGTAGGAAAACAGGGTGGGGAATTTTCCTACAGACTTTTTGGGGGATTTTCCCAGGGTCTCTGGTCCGCGGGATTTAAAATTATGAATTTGGTGGTCCTTGAGGTCCAAATAGTTGCGACCCCTACTCTAGATGGTAATCCAGCACATTTCACTCACCAATGACATGATCAGAGGCTGGAATCTGCTCGATTTCTCTTGGTCACCTTAGGCTTGGGTAGACATTTATTCCTTTTCAGTTGCCAGGTCCTGTCTTCCATGGTCCAGCCTATGCTTTCTGAACAGTGGTGGGATTCAAATTTTTTTTACTACCTGTTCTGTGGGCATGGCTTGGTGGGCGTGGCAGGGGAAGGATACCGTAAAATCTCCAATCAGAGGTGGTATTTCGAACTACTCAAAATTTCTACTACCGGTTCTCCAGAACTGGTCAGAACCTGCTGAATGCCACCTCTGTTTCTGAAGTACTTGAGAGGTCCTTTACAATAATGGGAAGCTATGGCAATTACTTCTAAAGAAGCACTAGCCTGGAATGAAAAACTTCTTGCAGAAATACTACTCCAGTGTGGAAAGTCAGTTTGATAGGAAAAGAGATTCGGACGCCCACAGCTGAATGTCACCGGTTCTATTTCCAAATGAGTTCTTCAGAAGTTTTCTGCTGTTTCTAACAACAACAACAACAACAACAACAACAACAACAACAACAACAACAAAAACAAACAAAGGGCCTTGCTCGGTCCTACTTTTTATTGTTTTTATTTACTCTTCACATTTTTACACATTTCCTACATAGTTTGGCTTACCCAGGAACTTTGTGGGTGCTGCCAGACGTATGCACTCCCTGCTAGCACTTTACTATGGTTTTACAGTATTTGGCAAGGATGGTTCTCACTCTTTACTGATTGAGTCATCTCATGCCTTTTCTCTGCTGCTTTGATCTGTCAGGTGGGCTATTTTGGATTAAGGATGTAGTAGTTTGCCTTCAGTAATAACCTGCTTGACAGGTAACAAATTTATTTATTTAGGTCTTTTTTTAATCTCACCTTCATTATTTTTTACAAATAACTCAAGATGGTGAACATATCTAATATTTCTTCCTCTTGCTTTTTTTTTTTTTTTTTTTACTACAATTACAGCCATGTGAGGAGGATTGGGAGCTGAGGGAGAATGACTTGTCCAAGGTCACCCAGTTGGCTTTCATAGCTTAAGCAGGACTAGAACTCACAGTCCCCTGGTTTCTAGACCAATGCCTTAACCATTATCTGAATATTTATACCGATAGGTTTTATTTTTCACTGTACTTTTAATTGTTTTATACAGAAAAACACTGAATCATGTAAACTGTTACCTGAAACAAGGTTAGTTGGGGAGAGGGAAGGGATGTAGATGGAAGTAACAGCAGAAAGTTAATATTTAACTACACTTTTTAAAACTATTTAACCATTCTGATATGCTTTTTTTTTCAATTTTACTTTTTGCCTGGACAGCAGAATGTTACAAGGTGGAAAAATAAACCCATATTCTGCTGTGAAAGTAAGCACATTCTACTTTTTATATTAAATGCCCAAAGCTGTATTCTCTCCACACAGTCATGAAAACAAGCAATGTCAGGATTAACCCAATACAAATATGAGAGCAGAGCAAGAGTTTTCAGTGTTCAGCTCCATTCAAGACTAGCCAGTTTGTCACCAATTGCTCTTGTTTTGTTCAAAGCAGAAATCCAGTACTTGCCAAGAAAGGGCTTCTGTGGGTGGAGATAGATTTAGCCTGTAAAAATATACTTTGTCCTGACACACAGAATTCATTTCCTGCAAACTATTGCGACATTTCAACAAATTGAAACTAGCAGCTCTGTAAGGACGAGACTTTTACAGGTAGGTACAAATGTTTTCAAATGTTGGTTTTAAAAGAAAAAAAATCTAAACTGAAATCAACAATACATTTTTCCTAAAGCTCTCTCTTTTCTCTGTGTTGCTATTGGCCTACATTTCTATAAATAGAGGATCAGATCTAACTTGGTATTTTGTATTGTGTACTTTGAGCTATACTTCTGTGCTGGGAAATGAAACACAGCAACAGCTGCAAGATTCTTCTAAATTAGACTCCATCCCAGTGTTCATTTGGACCAAATAATCCATGTTGAATATTTGAGTCAATGAGTTCTGGATTACAATTTCTCGTGACTTAGTTCTAAACTAATTTGGGTATGACCACGCTGTAAAATATTTTGTAGAGATTTGAATTAACAAAATACAATATGCATTGCCATCCTTGCCATTAGGGATCATTACTGAAGATTCTTCTGCATGTTTACATTTATATTTATAAAAATCCTGGTTGCACATAAGAGCCATGGTGGCACAGTGGTTAGACTGTAGTATTGCAGGCTAATTCTGCGGACTGCCAGAAGTTCGATCCTGACGGGGCATATTGTTGGGGCAATATGCTAACCCTCCACTTACAGAGGGTTGTAAAGTACCAAGAAGCAGTATACATGCCTAAGTGCTATTACTATATTGCCTTGTATTTACATAGCGCATCAGGCATGTGCTCCCTGTGGCTAAAATTAGGAAGCAAAGACAAGAAATCTGCAAGTAAAATTATTGTTGCTACTAATAATACTTGCAACCCGATTTTTAAATGTAAGCTGTAGCAGGCTTCTCTAGATTAAATGTGCTAATATGTACAATATACAAAAAAAGAGCCTTATTCATTTTTTTTGCCTGAAATCAAGAAATATTCAAGCTCTGAATTGTATGTTAAAATAATCAAAACCATTTCAAATGTCATTCACTTGAATCTTCCCAGAGTCTACTTATCAAAAGAATGTGTAAACATGGGCAGTATCGTTGTTTAGAAGAGCTATTTATACATCATTTATAGTTATTGTAAGCTATGAAATTTTGCTTCTCATGTAATTGAACTCCTTAGGGCAGTGTTTCTGAACCCTGGCAACTTTAAGATATGCAGACTTCAACTCCCAACTTCCAATTTTGGAAATTGAAGTCTATCTTAAAGTTGCCAAGGTTGAGAAACATTGCCTTTTAAGGCAGAGGTCTTCAAACTTGACAGCTTTAAGACTTGTGGACTTCAACTCCCAGAATTCCTTCTCCAGTCATGTTAGCTCCGGAATTCTGGGAGTTGAAGTCCACGAGTCTTAAACTTGCGAAGCTTGACTACTCTTTGTGTATGTATGTGTGTATGCAAAAGTTCTTACGTGCCATTTCATTCATTTCATTTCTCCAGCTGTTTTTCCTCTGTGTGAAAATTAACTAAGAGCAATTCTCATTATCTTCCAATAGCTGGAGAGTAGCTATCATTGGAAACTGCATAAAGCTGGAATATTGACGTATCTCCACCTTGGGGGTCTGCGGTTTGCATGTATCTGTCTGATCCCTGAGAAAGTAGTCTGTGAAGTGGTAGCACTAATTCAGCTGCAATTTCTGCAAGATGTCTTCTTCCTCTTGGATTTGGTTTAATTCCTTAAATTCTTCATGTTGGTGATTGCATCACCATGAATTAGGAATATTTAAGGAAGAACTAACCTTGGTTCCAAGAGCAGCTGTCGATAAATATGCTTCTAGAATTCATATTATGAATTCCAAACTGACTTCAATTGGACAATCTTAATCACTTCTTTCCTGCATTAACTTACCCAACAATTCTATAATCCATTTGCAGGAATGTTGACTCTCAAGGTAGATTCATATTGGGGGTGCCAGAAAGACAAGATATAACCTGTGCCTTTCAGACATGGTTACTGGGCATCCAGCAAAAATCTTCCTTTTTTGTCTTCATATCTGGCAGGAAAATAAATTTAATAAATAAATAATAAATAATTGATTACTACCTTTGGGCTGGCTTGGCTGCTACCAGAAATTGACTAAACCACAATCATCTATGAACACCAACTAGCAGTCAGAAGACCTGATGAAAACTTCATAATTGCCGTGGACATGGACAGACTTAAGCATAGTTTCAACTGGGAAACTGAGCATCCTAAAGCAAGCCAAATTCAAAAACACTAGGTAATTTTTGGAAGCTGGGAAGTCAGACAAATCAGCCATCAACAGGCACATACAGATAAACAACATTTGCATACCATTCAAAAAGAGACAATAAAAAAGCTAAAAAGGAAACAAAACATCTCCTCACCAGCAATCAACACCCAAATAAGCAGAGATTAACACCAAGATTAATATTAGATCAACAGCTCACCACTAGACCTAAAACAACAGGAAGGAAACAACAATTAAGGAACTATCAATTCAAACAATCAAATAAACAGTAAACAACAATCTAATCAAGGAACCACCAAACTACTTCCATCAACAGACAGAGCAAGCCACTTGTATATAAACAGAGGGCAAACCCCACCCACTCCCTTCTAGCACTGATGATGTTACTTAGTGGGGTAATGAAACATCTGCAAGAAAATAACCAAATTTTCAGAAAGCACCAAAGTTCCAACAAGGCGATAATCAGTTACACTCTGAAGGCTTTTGCATCCTAAGTCTCTAGCACATTTCTGTGACTGAAAAAATCAGTCTTTCTGATGCCAGGAAAAGTAGTTTCATAAACTGTACATATAGACCTAAGTACATTTTTTGCAGTTTTTTGCTGTAATTTTTATCTGGGATGCTGAGAAAGTAAATAATTAATGTGTCCTCTTTAATGTGTTCCACCATTTGTCCTCTTTTCCAATTTTCCATGTCCTCATTTGCCTGTTTGGATATTCTGGTAATGGTACTAATGGTATAGATTTCCAAATTCCCAGCCAGTTACATCATTGCCATGGTGACTAGTAATCTAGGAGATTATATTTTAGTCCTTACATAGATAATGGACATTTGGACAGAGAAGGCTGAGGCAGATAATAATATTGAGTTCCTTGGTTGCATTTGATTTGTGTGTTTTTTAAAACTGTATGAGAGATTCCAGACATGCAAATAGAAATGTAATTAATCTTGCCACTTTTGCTTTGAACATATCTTAACCATCGTCCAAACTTTTGTGAATATTGAGTTCAGTATTTGTGACTTCTCAGGCAGAATCTGCTGTCAAGGCAATTATTAAGTTGAAGGTTCAGAGGAAAATGCTGACGTAAGTCTCAGAAATGTTAGACGAGCAAAGAACCTGCTGACTGAAAAGGACTGGTAGCAGAAGGCCCAAGGGGATGGAAGATGAGGGATAATCTCACTCAAGATCTCAAGAAATAAAGTAGGAATAGATATATTTTATCAGTAAAAGCAGAGAAAGGAAACAATATTCTTGACAGATTGAGATCGAAGTAAAAGGATGACCAAGAATGTGTATCATAGAATGTACTGAATTAAAAAGCATAGGGGTTTTTTTCTTGGCCTGGTTGGAAGAAATAAAGAACTAAGGAATTTCAGAGTGAAGTTTTCAGAGTTATTTATTTAGTAATTTTATGCTGCATTTATTACTTTTTAAGTAACAAGGCAGAAAACCTACATAATACCTCTTTGTCTTTCTCTTTTCCCCCCACACAACAGAGGTGAAATGCTGTTGGTTTGGCCTGGTTCGGGCAAACTGGTATGTCCGATGATCAGCTGGGCGACGATCAGCTAATCATTGGATTTCTTGCTTTCTAGCTAATCTAAATTGCATGCACAGCTGATCCCCCCTGGCTGTTGTACTTACATTGGAAGGCTTCAAAATGCTTCTTTTTTCATTTCCCAGGAGGCTTCCTTGAGGCCCAGGAGGCCAAAAGTAGGGCGCAGAGGGGTGCTGGAAAAGAAAAAAGACTTTTGACCCACAGTCACATGACCACATAGTCACACCCACCCAGTCACATGACCACCTGGCCACGGCCACCTGGCCACGCCCACAGAACTGGTAGTAAAAAAAATTGAATCCCACCACTGCTCCGCAATAACCCTGTGAAGTGAGTTGTGTTGAGAGAGAGCAAATGATTGGCCCAAGGTCACTCAGCTGGCTTTCATTGCTAAAACAGAACTAAAACTCACAGTCTCCTAGTTTCTAGGCTAGCAGCCGAACCACTACACCAACCTGGCTCTTAGATACTTTAAAAAGTAGCTCCACAGAAAGCAATTGTAGCAGATATTTATGAAGTGACTTTAAAAGCTCCCTTAAGCCAAGTTCCCTACTATTAACTATTAAATTGGTTTCCTACATCAGGTCCAACTCTGCTTCCCTTTTTCAAAATCAACTAGAAGCTACTCTCTACTGAAGTTTGAAGAATAGGTAACTATAAGTGCATGAACGGTTGGCCCAGTAGTTACAATGTTGGAAATCAGAGGAGATTTTTACCATTTCCTTCCCTTGCCATGCCCACCAAGCCATGCCCATCAAGCCATTAAGCAGGTTCTGACTAGTTCTGCAGAACTGGTAGTGGAAATTTTGAGTAATTCAGAGAACCGGCAAATACCACCTCTGATTGGCTCTTCCCCCATCTATTCTCTGCCTCCTGAATCCCAGCTGATCAGCTGGCTCTTCTTTTGTTGTCCTGCAGAGGAGAACGGAGCTGGAAAGCAGGTTGGTGGAGTGGGGAGGGAATGGGATTTTGCAGTAACTTTCTCCCAGGAGTGGGGAGGGATTGGAGGTTTTACAGTATCCTTCCCCTGGAGTGGGGTGGGAATGGAGATTTTTACCATATTCTTCCCTTGCCATGCCCACCAAGCCATGCCCATTAAGCCATGCCCACAGAACCAGTAGTAAAAAATTTTGAATCTCACCACTGGTGGAAATGGATGGTGGCCCTCTGGATTCTGGGAATCCAATAATAGTTGAGGATTAAGAGCCCTTCCCAAGCTATGAGAAAGTAATCTCATTCAGCTCTGATTTCCTATTGGATCTTCATTTTGTTTGTTTTTTTGTAGCCTATTATCAACCTTGGTGAATGATGAAGAGTAATGACTTCTTGCTTAGAGTTAAATAAGGTTAAAGTAGAACTAGGTGCCAACAGAATATTGAACACTCCAGAAACCCACCTGAAACCCACAACACTCCCAGGTGTTGCCCAGACCAGATTAAAATGCATTCATAATTTTATAAGGAAAATAAAATAAAAATACAACAAAATACAAATAATATTACATTATGAAACTCAATGAGAATAAATTTAATGACCAATCACCCAAACTTCAGGCTTGTGGCTCAGGAAAATTCTCGCACAAACTTACTTCCTAAGTTAAATTGCAGCAGAAAAAAATAGGGCTAACGAGATGCAAGATACTAGATATCCAAACAGGCAAAGGAGGTCATGGATAATTGGAAAGAAGCAGTTCACACTAAATTGAATGTTGCATTGCCCAAACTTTCACTAATTGTGACCTACCTGTATCTTTTCCCCAGATAACCAGCAGGCAGGTGGCCTTGCACTGTTAAGTGACCCGCTCCAGACATTAGAGCTTCCAGCGCATGAAGGACTATCTCTCTCCAAAACAGGTGGAATGAATTCCTCTCCTTTCTTTTTTTTAAAAAAAGATAGAATGTCCTCCTTCCAAAAGGGGTTGAATTTATACCTGTTGAGTTTCAGGCTGCTTAAGGTCCGTGATCATTACTAACTTTCTAAAGTTGAAAAGTTTTGCAATTATTAATAATTAAAGTTTAAATAAGTGCAAAATACACTAAAAAATATGGGGGACAATAAAAGAGAGGGGGTGATTCAAATGAATTTGGTTATACAAGTAGTTCTTGGCTGACAACTACGGTGGGTGCCAGAGAAGTCGTTGTTAAGCATTGTGGTTGTTACGTGAGGCAATGTGCGATCACACTCGATTTTACAACCTATATCTGTTGCAGTTGTTAAGCGAATCACCATTGATTAAGTGAGACATCACATGACCAGGACTTGACGTTTCCTGCTGTCTTCCCCAATGACTTTGCTCATCAAAATCATCTGGGAATATTGCAAAGGTTGACACTATGATGAATATAAAGGAGAGGACCAGTCATCATTTTTTTCAGTGGTATCATAACTTTAAAAACACCCAATGCTGAATGTGTGGTTGTAAGTGAAGGACTGACTGTAATGCTTTTCTTTCTTTCTTTTTTTAAAAAACTACTCGTTTTGTAGCCCACATATTTTAACTTGATTTGGGAAAAGCTATAAAAATTTTTTTTCCTATACATGGGCTATCAGAAATTAGAAGGGACATTTCAGGGATGTGAAAAGTCAGGCTAGGACAGTGATGGCTTACCTTTTTGTCCTCACGTGCTGAAAATGTGCACATGCACGTACATGAATGTGCTTGTGTGCCTGCACCATAATGCAATACATGTGTGATCCCTCCGCCCCCTGCGCATACGTGCACGACCCCCCCCACACGTGCCCCATGCTTCTGTGCATGCACGTCTCCTGTGTGCGCCCTGCCCTCACGCATGCGCAGATACCTGACAATAAGCTGGCTGGTGGGAGGCGCATGTGCAGTGGACCTGATCTGGGGTGACAGTTCATGGGCTGGCAGAGATGGCATGCTATATTTTGCCATCACGGGTCTAGGAGGTGAAGAGGAAGCTTGCATGATAATTTAATGGTAGGCTGGGAGGAAGCTGAGAGTGGGAAAGAAATAATCTATATATCTAACTGTGTATGAATACATGATCACACACACACAAAGACACTGTAAAAATTCAAGGGTCTATAAATATACATAAGTACTGAAAACAAATAGTCAATTAGTAATAATAAATACAATGATACATTTCTTCTAATGTATTGATTATCCCTTGTTGTGTTAATGTATTAATATACAGTAAATATATATTATTATCATTTGATTTTTCTACCTTTTTGTAGATATATAACTCAAGGCAGCCAACATACCTAAAACTCCTCCTATTTTCCCCACAACAACAACCCTTCAAGACAAGCTGGGTGAAAGAGAGGGACTGACTCAAGATCACACAGCTGGCTTTCATTTCATTTTCATTACCCCCAAATTGGGATATATAAACAAATATACCTGTGTGGTTTTCTAAGTTAAAATACAACATGCAGGGTGCTTATGCAGGGTTTAGTGGTCCCTGTTTCTATTTGAATTTGACACCACTGCTGTTCAGTAGTCTACAGTATAATATTCTGATAGGATGGGCAACAATCACCCCAGAACAATGCCTAAAGGTCCACTAAAGCTCTTTAATTGAGTTTTTTTTCCTTCTAAAAAAATGCTTGAAGATGACACAATATTGTAAGTTTAACTTTCCCCCCCTTAAGTTGAACCTATTACATTTTTCCAAATTCCCAAGGGATTGCCAGGATCTTAAAAACAGAATTTTAACTAGTCTTAAACTGGTCCCACAATATCACCTCAGAGATGCAGAACTTCCAAAATATCTTCCAAAATATTTCTGGGCAGAAGTTCCTTATTATTACTTAGATTCTTAGACTCTGTTTTCAAAACAGCCTGGCTGGGTGCTCTGTTCTATAAAAGGTGACCAAGGTCTTGTGGCAAAATCTGATAAAAATGCCCTCTCTGAGATGGGACAAGGACTGAGGCTGTTCTTACTTTTCCCATGACTCTTCCTTGTCTTTCCAAAAACGTGAGCCAACTTTCTGTTTTTTTGACCTATATATTTAAGCAGGTTGGCGATTACCATGACCATGAGGAGTTTGTTCTCGAATCACAGTCATTATGTTGAAACTTTTCAAGTCTTCCTCAAGAAGTCAACTGAACATCAATGCATACTGGACTTCATTCACAAGAAGCTGCCCCAATTAATATCCAGGTAAATACACGGCAGACATGTTCTTAGAAATGTTTAATAGATGCTTTCATACATGAGATTGTTGGGAAAAGACTAGATAATCCCAGATTAGAACTGGTTTGGTTCCAGGTTTTTGTTGTTTTTAAGGTTTTAATTGGTAGAGTTTTACAATAAAATATTATTTATTATTGATTGGGAGCTGCCCAGCGTTAGTTAAAAGGTGAATGACTATATAAATATTCTAAATAAATTAAATCAATCTGAGTGAGCATTTTTATGTATTTAGTTGTGTGAAACTTAATTTTTCATTCCACTTCATCTGACCCACTTCTTTCCTTTTTTAAAAAAAAAACATGTGTTTTATATTTATTTGTTTGTATCTTGCCTTGATTATTTTTACAAATAATTCAAGGCTGCAAATATATCTAATATTTCTTCTCCTCCTATTCCTATATTCAGAACACTTCTCTTTGAAATAGACTTTGCCAGGGGTGGGATCTGACAGGTTTAACTACCAGTTCGGTGATTTACGATGTGCTTCCCTGCATGCTGCTGTAAATCTTCATCCGCTTGCTGCCTGGACAGCTGAGCAGCGCTGCATGCAGGGAAGCAGCATTTGAAAAAGCACTTTTTTCCTGCTTTTTCAACTGCAGTTGTACCTTGCATGGCAGCTGAGGTTGAAAAAGCAAGAAATAAAGGTCAGGTAAGAGACCGGGCAGGCAGGCCAAAACAGCAGCAGACATAGAACCGGTTCTATGTCTGCTACTCTTCAGAGCTACTGGTTCTACAAAGTCGGACAGAACCGGTAGAATCCCACCCCTGAAGCCCATTAAAAGACAGACGTGATTGTTTCTGTATCTGCAAACAAAACTTAAATATACACTGACATGCATTCCCATGTAATATGGAACTTCTATCCACTCCAAACAGTTATAACTTTTATAACTGTTTGGAGTGGATAACACTGTAGCTATTAATCAATTGGCTTTACGTTCAACTGTGGAAAGGGAACTTCACGAAGACAGTAGTGTCACAAAAACAGGAAAAGCTCAAGGGGAACATCAGGTCAGCCAGAAAACAAACTTACATAGGAAAAGGAATCAAATAAAAAATGTTAAAGAATCCCTATAGACAAAGGCCTAAGTAATTAAGAAAACTAGACAAATAGGAAAAGGAAACAAAAGATAATTTAGAAAACCCTTACAAACACAGGACATACCAAATAAGCAAAACAAACAGACAAAAGACACAAAATATAAATTACAAAAGGGACAGACAGGAGATTGCCACAGAACAAATATGAAAAACTATCTTAAAGCTAAAAGAGATTAGAGAAAACCAATGATACAATCTGGCCACCCCATGGAGTTTGCCTTCCGCACCCTGCGGAGTTTGCCCTCTGGCGGGAATAAAGACAAACTCAAACAGGATTTGAAACATTAGGCACAAATACAAACACTCACACAAAATCAACTTACAAAGGGAGAAAAGGGTATAAAAAACCAGGGACTTACCATAAGAAGCTAGCTAGCCCAGAAACGCAGACTTCTCGCTGTTCTCTGCCTTCCTGAAAAATAAAAAGATCCAGCTTTCAAGCAGTTGTCCGTATCCTTGCGCCAGAGCTCTCCCAGCGGGAAAATTGAATCCTTGAAAGAAAGGCATTTTGACACCTTTCAACACAACAAAAATCAGTTTGGTAGTGCCATAAATATTCTTATTCTTTCCTTTGCATGCTTTTTTTAAGTCATGTTGTTGGTCCAACATGGGACAAATAAATAAAAGAATAAAGAAGCATATTCTGCTTTCCTCCAAATACTTTGAATAGAATAACTAATATAACTATTAGATATTTTACTATATTCCTCACACTAATCTTATAAAGAAAGTTATGCTAAGGGAGAGGAACCTGTTCAAGTCATTCAGGGAATTTCATAGTTGAGAATTGTTGAGTACAAAGAGTTTTTCAAAATTCCTTACTAGATTAGTGAGCAGCGATATTGGCTAGAGCAGGGGTGGGTAACTATATGGCTTGCTCAGGAATTCTGGGAGTTGAAATCCACAGGTCATAAAGGGGCCATAGGTCTATGGAGATTCTCAGTCCTCCAGGTTGTGGTTGTCCCAAAGATGCTTTTCCAAAAGGCAACTGGACTTCCTTGGTTTTTTTCCCTTGAAAATGTTTCGTGTCTCATCTAAGAGGCAGATGAACTTAAGAAGCTTCTTTTCAAGGAGAAAAAAGAAAGAAAATCCAGTTGCCTTTTAAACAACGCCTTTTGGATAAATGGGCCACAAATACCCATCTCAGGAATAGAAGATTGTCAATATATTTATGAACTGGAATAGAGCTTGGTAACAAGGTCAGCCAATGAATAAGCATAGTAACAAAGTCAGCCAATGAGGACTGTTTTGGAAACTGAAACTAAGAGTAGCCTAGGAGTGGCTCTGTGTTAAGCTCTGCAACTCTGCAGCTATGTTAAACTCTGAGTCTGTCTATTGAAGATGAAACTAACCTGCTTGCTGAAGACTAGAGCTCTGGTCTGAACTTGCAACATGTTTCTGTTTGAGTTTGCTCCATGTTGGAGAAATCTACAACTGGTTTGTAAAATCTTATTATGTTTATAAAAACGTTAAATGAAGCATCAGCCATCTGTGTTTATTTTTCTGGCGCTGAATTATCACTGCAAAACTCTTAGTAAAGATGTCTACAAATTTCCCCATTCGAAGGAGAACCCCAATTCCAATTTCCTTAAAAGCAGAAGTATTGAAAAGCCCAGTGGGGCAAATCCCCTTGCATCCAAGACTGGGAAGCCAAAAGGGCTACACATGACTGGAGAAATTATTGTACAATGAACATCAGATTGTTGTTATATACATCCTTTGACCATCTGAATCAGTGCAATGTACTTCACCCATAAAAAGAATCCCAAAATCTCTTCTCCTTTAAAATAAATATAAAAAGTGAATCCTCTTCCATCAGATTCTCGGATTCAATGAGAAAACAAACAAACAAGAGAATCTCTCCCTCCAGCACTAATGGATCTCTCTAGCAGGATTCAAAATTCCCATCAATATATCCCAGTAGCATTTTATTTTATTTACATTTTTTTTGCTGGTTGACATATTCATCTAGAGGAGCTGAAAAGACTTCCTGCTCTTGTTTGTCTGCTACATAGTTCAGTTTAGGTGTAAGCAGTACATGCTTCTCTCTTTTAATAGCTCAAATCACTGAAAATTAAACTTGTTTCTAATCACAGGTCTGCAGTCCATCTGCATGGCCCCATCCTGACCACCCTTAATGAACCACATCAGGCTGGAATAAAAGATTAGGAAGTGCCTAGAGGACATTTTCTAGAAATGTGTGTCACCAGACTTTTTGGACAGCTTTTGATGTTATGAATTTGTCCTTCCCTCCTAGCATCAGTAATGGAAAAACTGATATCAACGTTCTAAGTGTCGGCGGTGGTTCAGGTGAGTCAAAATACAAAGGTATTATTTAGCCATCTGAATTATGGATGCTGTTAGCTATGCAGGATATTATATTACATTCATGTACTTGGAGGAACTTAGAAATAATTTAAAATATACCTCCCGGCAAAAGGATGTTCTGCAATGTGGGGATGAATGGGCAAAAAAGAATCAGATAATGACAATAACATGAAAATTAAACCTATATATAGAATCAGACACTCTCAGACACACTGATTTTGTTTCATATAATTTTGCAGGAGACTGGGATGTTGGCTAGCCAAAAAAGAAAAAGAATAGGATGGGGCTTTTCAATTTCTTATTCTGTATTTCATTTACTTTGTGACAAATGACTTTTTAAGCATCTAGGGAAGGCTTTCTGGATAAGGCCAAGGCCCATCTTAGTCTAGCATTTTGATTCCCATGATGACCAACCAGGTTCTGTGGGACTTGCGGGTTCTCCAGGACTCACATTTTCACTGGTGAAGGCCAAGGGTTTTGCCCAGCTTCAGTTGGTACACTAGTTACAATCCTTTCTGACTTAGGGTAAGTTTATGACAGTGACTTATGCTCTTAGATGAATGTAGCACACTTTATACAGGGCTGCTGCCTTTGGGTAAAGTCTAGAAAGCAGAGTGCAGTTGTGCAAGAGATAAGGATCCAGACGGTAAAGGTGATGAGTCACTTTAGCACATAGCACCAATGATATTGCCTGCCAGTAGGTTTCTAAGCAACCTTCTGGTGTTCACCTACATGCCCCAGCTCCTGTTTACATGCAGGACCATTTCTTCTAACTATAACTCTCTTATTTGGGACTATCATCCCAAGAGCGAATGTTTGGGGTCCAACTAACTAACTAACTAACTAACTAACTAACTAACTAAATGGGGTAGAGTTTGGAAACGGATCTTCTTGGTGGTGGCCTCAACACTTTGAAACAAAATAATCCCTGAAGTTAATTTAGCCCTCATCTTGCAGGCTTTCCAAACAGTGTAAATGTTCTTGCTCTGACAGGGGTTTGAGCAGTACTGATAGTGTGTGTGGGGGGGTGTATTCTTTGTTTTTAATTACATTTTTTCCAGAGTTATGGATTTTATTGGAAATTCAGGGATGCTTGAGTTTGCTATATTACTACCAGAATTTACTTTTATTTTGTTTCATTTTCAAGTGATTGAGTCATTATGACTTAAGTCATAAATTATTATGGAAACTTAATCCCCCCCAAAAGAACAAAACCCTGAAAAGCAGCAATTAAACCTTAAAATGTCTTCCTTTGTTCATGATGAAGAACTCGGTCCACACTGTAGCAGTAAAAAGAGCTGCTGGCATCCTTATTTATTGACCTGACTTCTATGGCAGCTTTGAGACTTGTGGACTTCAACTCCCAGAATTCCTGAGCTAACATGACTGGAGGAGGAATTCTGGAAGTTGAAGTCCACAAGTCTTAAAGTTGCCAAGTTTGAAGACCCCTGTTCTATGCATACATTTCTTTGGCTCAAGAGCTACACTACATTTTATGTAGTAGATCAAGAATCTTATTCTGAAAGTGGTAGAGCCAGGACACAGATATGTGTTTGTTAAGGAGGGAAATGGGTACCTGAAGACTCTGTGAGACTTTTGTCCATTAGTCTCCCTCTTCAAAATAGTGCAAAAGGGGGGCTCAACCTTTTGGAGAGCTGCCATATTGATCAGGGCAGGTCACTCTTTTTTTCACCCATGTAAATCAATAATAAAGAAAAACTCCAAACTCCCTTGCTATGAAACAAATATTTGCCTGTAGTCTTAAAATCGATGTAATAACTCTAATATTTAAGAATAATTATCAATGATAATCACTGAAGTGGACTTTAAATATCATACCATACCATACCATACCACACCACACCACACCTTGAAACATTAAAAAAAAACTACAGAAAACTGACAACGGAAAAAGACCCAGTGATCGGTCAAATCTGCCCTTTGAGGGTTTTTTTTAAAAAAAAATTTATTTTTTTAAATTTTGGTTGGGTGATGGATATGTCTTTATCCCAAGTATGTTTAAAGTAATTTACTGATGATTGACCTACTACCTCATCAGAAGTTGGTTCCAAGCTTCCACTACTCTTTCTGCAAAGTAATACATTCAAAGGGTTGCCATGCCATGCCATACCATACCATAACATACCAATTTTGTTATGTTATTCACTGGATAACACCAGAAGAAAGATTGCACAACTCATGAAGACAGTGATATTTATTTATAGGGCTGGTAGCTGATAGCTTAAAAGTAAGAGGCAAGTAATAAGATTTCAAATGATTAAGAACCTGGCCAGAATTGGCTATTTTATAGGACCAGATGAACTCCATTATCTGATCCCCATTCAACTATTAGTGTCTGTGGTAGGCTACTGGTATGCAGCAGAAGTCATGTTAAGAGTTACCAGACTCTGTATATGATGACTTAGACCAGTTCCTAGATCCTTTGTTCAGTATTTATTTTTTAATGGCAAAGTGTCTGGGCAGCAAAGAAGAAAATTGAGGAATACATGTAGAATGCTAGTTGCTCAATGTGCTCCAAAGTTTTCACACATTTCTTATTCATTTGAATGATTTATTTAAAAAACATTTCAACTCTGCTTCCCAGCTGTTCATTATGCTAGCGTTGATAATCTGTATGGAAAAGCTTGTGAGAGCAAAATGCTACATTAGCAAAACTAGGAATGCAGGCAGGGTAACTTTAAATGGTCATAAGAATAGTGAGGTGGTGTCATTCCTAATCTATAAAGAAGTGTTTTCTGTTTACAGCTTATATCTTATTAATGTGGTCAACTGCACCCCCTTCTAATCAAAGAAGACATTTACTGTGTGGTAAAATAGTGATTCTATTCTAAACAATCTATTTCCTTGAAATGTTTAATTGGTAATTTAATGGTGAACATTATAGTAGCCCCTTAAAGGTAATTGTATCAGAGTCCTTAAATAATTTCTAGAGCTTTAACTGATAGTTGTCAATTGATTTTTCAGGCTGCCAGAGAACTGGTTCTGAAATGCCCCAAAGCCCTTGTTTGCATATAAATAACTAAATGAACTCAATTAAGGTAGAAGATTAAATTACAAATCAGATTGTTTGAGGTAAAGAGGAGCTTTAAAAATAACCGAAGGCAATGGATTAGTTTCTTGTGAATGGGAATGAATACATTATCCATTCAATCAATAAACATACAAGATCTCCAGATGAGTCGATAACAGCTTCAGTTATCCCCAATCAGCCTGACCATATTGGCTAGGAATGGTGCACCTGAAGAGCACTAGGCTGCCTTAAGATAGTTCAATAATGATGGAATCTGGCATTGGCTTCCATCTTCTGCATGTAAGTTTAAGGGGATCTTTGAGCAAACCCAACATAAATGCAATGCTGTCACATGCAATGCCATCCGCATTTTATTTCTTTTTTCCTTTCTATTATAATGAATTGTTTTTGCATTGTGCCCTTAAACCTCTGTTTAGAATTGGCTAGCACTGAATAGCTGCCAACTATGAGTAGGTCTAGCCATCTATCTATCTCAGCCTCTGGATATGATAGATCCATTCTACTTCTTTGTAAAGAATCATATATGTAGTTGAGATGATGGACAGGTGGATGGATGGATCCTTATTAAAGGATCATAGTGTAAAGTATCTTCTAAAAGTGATACAAATGATAGATTTTGTTAAGCCTTTGTAGGTATCTATTGATGTAACAATTATAGATTGGAATATCGTAAACAATTTTGATCCCAGTACTTTCAAAAAGGTATTATAGAGCTAAGAATACATGTAAGATGATCAGCGAAAATGATGAAAAATAATTTGTCTAGGAATAAAAATATGCACCAAGACAAATTATTTGTGTGCCCAATCACACTTGGCCAATAAATAATTCTATGTCTGTCTGTCTGTCTGTCTGTCTGTCTGTCTGTCTGTCTGTCTAAACGAAGACAAGATGGAAAAAAATTGTATATCTGGTTTGGAAAAAAACAAATTCTTTTTTTCCTTCTCTCAATGAAGCACACAGTAGAGATTAAAGTAATGCTTCTATACACCAAATATAATAAAAATACATTTGCTGCATATGTGATGGCAACAGAATTGGGACAGTTTTTAAAGTACATTAAAATAACTTCATGAGTATAAAACTATTATGTATAAAACTAATGAGTAGTAGTCATGGTGGCTCTTCATCAGCATCAGGTTCAGAAGCAGATTGCTTATTGATTCCATTTGCTGGTGTAACACAATTGATAGAGTCCTATTTTACTCACGTTTTGCTTGTGAGATTCATACGAGTTATCGAAAGAATGACTAGTTACATCTAGCCCAATGTAGTTGTTCTAATATTCAGCCATCATAGTAGAATTGTCTCACGCTCCTAATAATGATGGGATCATGTAACTTGATCATTACAGAGCAATGCTTTTCGTCTGTCATTCGCTATATGCCATTTGGAAACTAATTTAACATCTGCATAGGAACCAAGTAAACCCCCACACACTTCGAACAAAAAGAAAAATTATATTAGTTTGGTTTCTTTGTTCTTCTTTGTGTCTTAGGGGAAATTGACCTTGAGATTCTTGCAAGATTACAGTCGGACTATCCTGGTGTGATCATTCATAACGATGTGATAGAACCAAACGCAGAACAAATAAACAGTTACAAAGGTATGTTTAATACTGCAGCTTCTGCTGAGCTTCACGTCACTGATCCGTTTGCCCCTCGGTGTTCTAGAGTTTGTTATGGAAATAATGTGCTATTGAAATGTTTCTCTGAAACATCCATTTATCACATTTCCACTGAAAGGGAGGAAGAGATACAGCCTGATGTTTCTCAGCATGGTGGCAAGCCAGAGGGTGCAAATCCCTGCTTACGTGACAGCAAACACAATGCAGTATTAATGCTACTTAAATGAAAAGGGGAAATTTTGACGCTGTTATTTGAGAAAAAAAAAATTAGGGATTAACTTTCTGAAACTTCAAGCCAGGACACAAATATTGATTTTCTTCCATGAGTTGAGGGAGGACAAGGCTGCTTTCTTGAGACCATTGGCGCTCTTGGAATTTTGAAAAGCCTCAAAATAGCTGCTCTGCTTTCTGAGGTTGTATACACTATGCAATCTTAAAACCCTCACTTATTGAAAAACAAATTAGCTGGTTATTCTTGCCACCTTGCCAGCTCCATTCCTACTTATTTCTGACTTTTTATAAGCAGGTAGGTAGCAGTCAAACAAAGAAAAATGCTCCCTGTTTAACTTGATAGGATGCCTATAAGGCCTTCTTAGAAGTAAAGTGAAGCTAAAAACTAGCCATGTGCCTTGCCACATGCTATTTTCTGCAAAGTCTTCTGCGCTGTGAAGCCTGGTAGATGCCAAGGGTGGTGTGTCCACAGACATAGTGGATGCCCGTAGGGATCACATTTCCTATTCTGCTATGAACTCTGTCTTTGTTTTACAAGGCTACTCATAACACAATGTTAAGTTTGGCTACATACATAGCAAAATTCATATTTCCATTTAGGGAAAGAGTTCCCCTCTTGCAGGTTTTCAAATCATCTTTGGTAAGCAGCCCAGAATGTTTAGCATATTGATAGACATTAGCTTTCTTCTCATTCTTCAATTGACTGTGTATCAACTGTCTGATAATGAAATAAAAAGCAGTTCTGGGCATGTTATCGTCACTGTCGATATGGATTACTTGCAGAAAGATGTCTGGGCTTAAAATACACAGAGTTTCACTGTGGTCATAGAGCCTAGGAACCAATAATGGAAGAGGGATGAGCAACAGCTGCTGCAGTTAAAAATGAGACCACTCACACCTAGACATTGCCCACATATATAATATGCAGCACAGGTGCTACTAAATCCAAAGTAATTATTACAGAGCAAGAAAAAATAATAAAGCACCACTGAAACCAGAAATACATAACAAATAATCATCACCCTGTTGCTGAATCTTGACGATGTCCTTAATGCTGTCCCAAATACAATGTTAATAGCCTTTCTGAAGAAGAAAACTCTACTTTCAACTATAGGTAGTCCTCAACTTACAATGATTTGTTTAGTGACCATTTGAAGTTACAATGCCACTGAAAAAGTAACATGACCGTATTTCACCTTTATATAGTTACAATATCCTCATGGTCACCTGATCAGAATTCAGATACTTGGCAACTGACTCTTATTTATGAGGGTCTTAGTATCTTGGGGTCATGTAATCACCTTTTGTGTCCTTCTGACAAGCAAAGTCAATGGGAAAGCCACATTCACTTCACAACCCTGTCACTAACTTAACAACTACAGTGATTCACTTAACAATTTTGGCAAGAAAAGGCATTAAATAGTGTAAAACTTAATGACTGTCTCACTTACCAACTTGGGCTCAATTTGTGGTGGTAAGCCAAGGACTACTGGTATTAGAGAGGAAAGGACTTGACATTATCTCTGGATCATTCCATCTTGCCACCTTTACAAATGGGAGATTTCACTCTTTTCTGGGATGAGTGAATGGAATGGGCTACTTCTACCTGAAGGAGGTTTCCATGAGTAACCTGGAAGTCCACCTTTATAGGTAAAAAATAATAATAACACTTTATATTGAATCAAGAAACTCACTGAAGCCCATAAAACACCTCTAAGACCTGGCTTATTGGGCAATAACCTTCTGTACTGTCTTCAAAGACAAGCCCATGTAAAGCACACTGCAGTAATCTGGTGTCCAATAGGAAATTTTTTTAAAAAGCATAGGTTAGAGGGGAGGAATAAGCAAAGAGAGAACATTTCTCATCTTCGCAGGGAGGTATCATAATCAGAACCTTGAGAAAAGTAATATTTCCTTTTCTGTGTTAAGTCAGTGTCTGTGATGTTCTGAATGTTCTGTGCATGTACTCAAGATTTCAGGTCACGTAACAGAACCTGAAATAATGGAATCGTGGTTGAGACAGACTTATAGTATCAGTGATGGAGATCTTTATTGCTTTTGGGGAGAAAAGAAAGCCACATCTTTTATGAGTTTTCAGTGACAGAAAAGTAGGCACTGTCTCCTTGTACTGGAAATTAAGAGAATATTGCAATCAAGAAAATATTCCAATTATTGTCTCAGTGTCCCTTAGTTTTCAAGATGATACTGAAATCAGAGTTGATTTCACAAGGAAATGTCAAATTTCAGCACAGTAGGATTAAGCTCTAGGTCAAGATTAGAGAACTTGTGGCTTTTTGGTTTTTATGAAATTACAACTTTTATTAGCTACACCATGATGGCTAATTGTGCAAGATGCTAGGTACTGTAATTTCATAACAACACAAAGAATACAGATTTCCATCCTTCTTGAAAGTCTTAAACCAAACTCACAATTTTAAAAAAAAGACCAAAAACCAGTTTTAGGATATATAAAAATAATGAAGTCATCAGAATAGTAATCTTATCTCATCTTAAATATTAGCAGTTTTATGACAAAATCTTTGGGGCATTTTCACCTCCATTTAGATAGCTAGATAGACATAGATAGATAGATAGATAGATAGATAGATAGATAGATAGATAGATAGATAGATAGAT